TGCCCTCGACAAGATTACCTTGTACGATGATCTTCTCTTTGGTTGGAGTTTACGAAAGAGTTGATGTGACGGAAAGGAGAGCGGCGGAATGAGGGAGGGAGAGAGGTGGTGGTGGAGGAGGTGGAGGAAGACGAGGAGTGGGAGGAGGAGCAGAGGGGGGGGGGGACTGTTGCGCGAGAATGGAATATTTTTTAATGTTGTCATAGACAGTGATTACACGTGTTTTTCAGCGGCGGCTTTGATTTGGAAAATAACTCAGTTTGTAATTTACTATTTGAAGGTACACCATTGGCCTTGGAATATACACGACGAAGTAGCGATTTGCCATATGTCTCGGCAAATTGTCGCTTTATAAAAATTCTGCTAAAATCGCTGTTTGTAAGATTTGCCCACGAGATATTTAACAATTCTCCATGTCCGTAAGGAGATGGCAAATGAGGCATGCTCTCTCTCTCTCTCTCTCTCTCTCTCTCTCTCTCTCTCTTTTTGCTCATCTCAAATCTAATATGCCAGTACGCATCTCGGGAGAAGTGACATTTATTATGCGCGCGCGCCTAAATCAAAGGAAAAGGCCGATCCAAAGTGTATGCAAAGTGGTGGTTTAGGGATGGGAGGGAGGAGGTGAGTTGGGGAGGTTGGAGAGGTAGACGATCCCATCGTGTTATTTCGAAATCTTTTTTCGAACCTCGCGTGTGGAATCCCGCGAGCAGGGTTCCTTGAACCTGTGCTCGAGAGCTCTTGCGTCGACGGGTGAAAGTTTGCGAAGAAAGCAGCGCCTGGGATCGAATCTCTTTCTTCATAGCGTTTCCGAGGCCATTGACACATCTGTACCCGACTTTCCTTTCGGGTCTCCCACCCACCCCCACCCTCATCCCTCCGCTTGCCTGCCTGCCTGCCTGGCTGGCTGTCCGCCTGCCCCTTTCCACCTTTCTTCCGCGAGAGTTATTCCTTTCCCTCAGCGCTATTATTACGACATCGTCGAAATGCCGAGAGCAGCTGTCCAATACTCCGATTCTAAGGAATCGTGCGAACGATTCGTTAGTCGCGTTGACGATTATCCGATTTCGAGGGTCTTGACCCACACCGAGTAGTTTTTCACGCAACAGCAGCAACAGCAACAGCAGCAGCAGCAGCAGCAGTAGTAGCAGCAGCTCTTCCAAGCCCGACAATAAGTCGTATCGTGAATTTAAATTCGCTCCTCGAAAATCTTCCACTCATATTTATTCAGCAAGGTTACAAAGTGCTGTTGCTCGGCCAGGCAAATCAATGTCAATTTTAACATTTCAATGAAAAAACTCTTGTCCTCTTATACGTTGAGGAAAGAGCTGCTGCGGTCAAATAAAATCAAACACTTCGGATAGACGGACGAGATGTTTATCGATATTTCGAAAGTCTCGGAATTCCATTGGAATACAATGCCGAGTAACGTTATAAAGTAAGTACTTGCTCGCTGGATGGATGGCTGGTGGAAAATAGATGAATAGCTGCTCTTTAATGTACGTTAAATTTCAATTTTTAAACGGCAACTCCGGCGTTACGGCTTATATCGGCTCGAGTTTAAAGTATGACCGATCGCGCGATGTATGTATGTTATTTATTATCTTATTCTCTGCTCTACTTGTAAACAGGCTAGCAAACCGTAAGTCAATGCGATTGAAAAATTATATCCTCGTTCCTCGGGCGATCGAATAATTTTCATTGTTAAACGATTGCCAATAATGGCTGGGCTATTATTTACTACGGCATGTTGTAAAAATTAATAATACCACTCGGTTTGACGGCCTCGATTATAAAAGTTTTACAAGAGCGCCTTTACCGTCTCATACATTTGTGCGCTCTTGCCGTTGGCGTTACAATCAAGCTTCTGAGTAACTGTTTCGAGCTGTGGAGCTTCCGGCTCGTGTGCTCCTGGCGCACATGCCACCGAAACTTTATCGCTTCACCGCTCGATTTATTTCTCCGTGCACCCGTTCGCTTTTCATGAATTGCTGCCGTGGGTCACACGAGGATAACAGATGTTATTCCATTCGGTTTCTTGATTTTCGCGTGAAATTGGGGTGGTAATGGTGTGGGACTGACGGGAATTGGTTGATGGGGGAAGGGGGAGGGGGTGTTACGGTGGTGAAGGGGGTGAAGGGGGGGGCGAGTCGACGCATCCAATTACGGAGTTGAGATCTGAAAATTTGTAACTCGAATGAACTGACTGGAAACGATTTGTAAGGCTCGTGTGCCTTTTCTGACCCTCTTTTTCGTGCTTAATGATTCATTGAACATTACCAACGGCAGCAGTTTTAATCGCTATAGTCGATGCTCGTCACGTTAATTATTTTATTATTTTCCATTCGTGTGATTTGTTAAATTTTTTTTGTATTGGTTTGGTTTGTTTTGGTTTGTTTGTTTCGTCGCAATAGTTGATTAGTCAAAACGAGAATATCGACCGAGCTCTTATCAATGTTGATCTAGAAAATATTTTTTCTCCCTCGTAGGAATGGGAGGAGAAGAGCAAAGACTATTTCTCGTCCGCGATCCATTGAACTTTTACAATTTCCTTCTTAAAGAATTAAGTGTAGCCCCCCCCCCCCGCCTCCGCCCTCCCCACACATATCTCCAAAGCCTCGGATTAGAATAGGCATTAGAATTTATTAGAATATATGTGTATCTGGAAGGCATCTAAAGCTCATTGGTTAACCAATTGTTCACTTTGCTCAATCGGCCTTTATTACAATAAGTTCGCGAAGATGAAGAAAAATATGCATGATTTATAAAATGGAAACCGGCTTGCTCTCGTGTCTCAATTAAATATCGATTACCCGCGAGTCTCGGTTCCCATTGTTTGATTTCAAAACACGCTTGTACACAGAATAAACAAAGTTTCATAATTCCGTCGATTTATTACAGTGCGCGCACGCGCGCTAAATATCTTCTCAGGGATAAGTAAATGCCGCGACTGGGAGTTTGTTAAAGCGCGCGGAGTGGGGAGTGAATAAAAGTACGCGAAAAGAGAAAAGCGCGCGCGGTGTCTTGTTTTAGCAACGCCTACATACCGACTCTCCAAGATTCTCTATTTTATCAAGGGAAAGCAAAAGAAAGGGCATTGGCACGAAAAAGCCGCGTCACGCTTGATCGATTTGAGGCTTCACCCCTCCCCCTCCCCCATTCCCCTCCCAGTACCGCTACCACTACTACTACTACTACTACTACTACTACTACTACTACTACTATACGGCCACCCGGAAAAAGCTGCGAGCGATTGCACATGTTATTCTGCATTATTTATCAGAGGAATTTTCATAAACAATGGTTTGAATCGAACGATAAATAACTTAGTTTCTGAAACGTTCGTACAAGGCCTTTTATGTTCGCGAATAACTGTAATCATCGAATCTTGATTTATTAATTCACATTTATTTATTTAAGGCACCTCTGGATGGATAGTCTGAGCTATCATCCCCTCCCATCCCCTCCCTCATACCTTCTCATTTCTTTTTACATTTTTCTTGTATCCTTATTCTTCTTTTTTCTTCCATCTTTCTTCGTTCTTCGTTCTTCGTTCTTCGTACTTCGTACGAAATATTTAAGGAACAACAACTCGGGGAGCGTGCAAGTGTATCCTGAATCCAGAATCCAGAATCCAGTCAGCCCGTGGTGGTAGTCTGGAATTTCAAAGAAAAAGCAAATAGGAGGCGATTGCACGAATTCCTTGAAGTAAAAATGCTCTCGCAGACCTCGCAGACCTCGCTCGTATTTATGAACTTTTTGCGATTTGTCATCGTGAAGTGAAACTCCCGCGATGTCAGCTGCTGGTGTCTGTAGGTCGCGGCTCCGTGGATTGGCCTTTGTTCCACTTTTTACATTCGCAGCGCTCGCCCTTGTGCCACTTAGCTTCCTTCGGCCGTTTTTTCTCTCCACCTCGTCGCCTTGCCGCCGTCTCTTGCGCGATAAGGTCCCCGTGCCTATGCACCAGTATCAATTAAGTCCGGAAGTACAGGCCATTAATTTTCGCTTTCTGCACGATTAAACATACTACGTAACGTATTCTCTTCCCCCCACCCCATACCCACATGATGATTTATTTATCGTCGTTTCACTGGCACTCCCATCCATCGCGAATATTTGGGTCTATTGTGGATTTTGTCGTGGAGGGCGAAGCGAGCGCGAGTGACTTTACGAATTGATAAAACAACCTCGATCGAAATGGTCATTGAGTTTTTCATTATCCACCATACGACACACGTCTATTTCTCGTATTCAAATTCTATGCGCAGACATTAGCCACTGCAGGCATGGGATGGCGTGGCTTGGCCCTCGGCCACGCTTATTTACGACATCTACGACTCTCTAATGTCGCGAATTACAAGGAAAACCATGAAAAAATGGGTGGATGGAGGGGGGGGAGGAGGAGGAGGAGGAGGAGGAGGAGGAGGAGGGAGATAGAGATTTAAATTAATAGACACTCGACATTTTACAAATTCAAAAGTCAAACTTAAAAATTATCTCGTTAGTTAAGGATTATCACCGCGTGCTGCCAAGGCTGTCGTTCCGTTATCGTCATCGGCGCGTAAAAACCGCACTATGGAGTCTCGATCGTAGCATCGCTCCCACGGCGCTTCCGCCGATCGCGCTAAGAGCCGCGGGGAAAAGTTCCTCGTTACACGTGCGCGTCCCTCGAGTCTTTCATCAGGTGAGGAAAAGCGGTAAGGATGTCTCAATCGCGGCGCCTCTGGGAAAACCGAAAACCTCGCGGTCACGTGCGCGCGCCAACGAAATATTACCACACGCGCTCTTGAGGAAACTCCGTTTCGTCGTCTCCCCCTATCACCTTCACATACGTTTTCGCGTAGAGGCGCGCGCATAATGCGTGCACACTCGGGCCTTTCGCTTCAGCTTATCAAGAACTTGCCTCTCGTACCACCACCTCTCTTACACTCACCCCCACCACCCCCCCCCTATCTTAAGCCGTCAATTAGGATGAAATTCCAATGATCGTTTTTTGCCAACAGAACGAAACTCAGATTGGAGAGTCTGGAGGACGCGGTCCTGGTGGATACGGAAGACGACCGACTGTCGGATCGTCGAGGCTGCCCTGCGTACGTAGCGCCTGAGGTGCTGCGCTCGGGTCGAGCGTACTCGGGCAAGGCAGCGGACATGTGGTCTCTCGGAGTGCTCCTCTATACGATGCTCGTCGGCCGTTATCCCTTTAATGACGCCGAGCACGCGAGCCTCTTCGCCAAGATATCGCGCGGTCACTTTGCGGTGCCGGAGGCCTTGGGGCCACGGGCCCGATGCCTCGTCAGGGCCCTTCTGAGGCGGGAGCCTGCGGAGCGGCCAATTGCCGAGGACGCCCTCGCGCACCCTTGGCTCTCAAGGCCACTGAGGCCGAGTTCCGCCAGAACGCCGTCGCACGACCAACTCGTGCCCACGAGTCCGAGTCCTAGTCCCGGGCCTCAACAGCAGCAGCAGCAGCAGCAGCAGCAACAACAACAACAACAACAAGATCTTCAGCAGCAGCAACAGCAACAACAACAACAACAACAACAACAACAACAGCAAGCACCACAGCTGCAGCAGCAACTTCAATATTGAACGAGTGCGTAGCTCGGAGACTTGTGCTCCCCGTACGTTAAGATGCTACTAAATTTTGCACAACAACAAGGATTGTTTCTTTCAATAACATAAAAAAAAAAAAAAATCAAACGCGCTATTTTAATAGGATTTGAATGAGTACTTGGTCGGATTGTAGAATTCCAGGCTTGGAAGTGTAGGGAGATGAAAGAAAGTGGGCACCAAAGAAATATAAGTTACGATGGATTTGATTATTCATTCGTTATACTAAGCGTTCCGTCGATATTGCAATTTCTGATTTATTTCTTTATGTGTTGGTCGAGACGGAGCGGGCGAGTAGCTGATTCCTGTAGCTTCTGTCGCCTCGCCCGTGACCGAATGCCCAAGAATTCGTAAATTTAAATGATCAAAATGTTTAATTACCGAGTACGTCATTATTACTTTTCGATTGCAATTGCTGAAACGAAGAAGACTTTAGGTTTTTAAATAGGTCCAGAACAGGCTCCTAAATTTACACTTCGTCTTAATGATTTTTCGACAATAATGGAGCAAGCATTTGTTTTACATTTCAAGAATACGAGTGCACTCCATCAACGATCGGTCGATCCGAATTATCGGAAGGTGGACAATTTATAATAAAACGATTTGGCTTTAACGCTATTGGCACCACTTTTTTTTTTTCCTTTCTTTTTTCCGAGTGCATTGCTTTCTTTCGTTTATTACTGTATAAACTATATGTTGCGCGCGCTTTGTAAATGCCTTTGGGATTTCGTGTTTGTCAATGTAAATATTATTTTTGTTGCGATTTTGCATAAGAGCGATGAGGGAAAATCGCAGTGATCGGACGGAAACGTAGATGGAATACATTTCCTAGTCTCGGCTGTTTTTAACGAATAATAGTTCGTTCATTGTGATTATATAAAATTGGCTTATAAATTATTGATATAACTTCGTGTAGCGTAAACACAACCGGCGGTGAGTTTATTTTTTGAGTGATTGAAACTATGAGAAAGAAAATATTGCTTACCGTTGTGTATACTAATCGCTTAGAATTAATTATAACATTAGCCGTAATTTCCTGCAAATTCTACTTTCCTTGGAATAATTTTATTAATAAATAGTTTATTCACTAGTAATTGAGTCGATGCGGGAGGTTTTTTTTTTCTTTTTTTTTTTTGTAGCTTTAAGCGAACGTTCTTAGCTTTATATCGAAGAAGAAACACTAGAGTCATTATTAAGGGCAATAGAAAAAAAATATATTTTCTAAATTATTAAAAAAAAAAACTTTGCAAAATTTTTAATCTTTTTTTTTCTCCTAATTAAGGCCATAAAAAGATCATAAAAAATACTACCAAATTTAATACTTTAGTATTGTTAAATTCCTATAATTTATTTATATTCTTAATAGTTCGGCATGAAACATTGAGATTGAAGAGATTCGAGTAAATATTTATTTGAATGAAGCAACATTTGTACATAGTAGATAGTTTCTAAGATTAAGTAGATTATTTAAATAAATATTTACTTATACGAATGAGTTATTTGGCATTTGATGTATACTAGAACTAAATTTAGTAGTATTTGAGAAGAAAAAGGCTGAGAGGGACTTTGTAGTCAACTAAAATCGTACAATTACAGCCTCTTTTAAATTAAAAAATTTTATTCTATTATTTTGTATATAAATGTCAATTATCATTATAAGCAAATTTCGAAAGCTGATGATGCATTTAGAGGTAATTATTCGACAACTCACGTAGCCAATGAAATAGGTACCTATTTTTGGAGTTTAAATGTTAATTTGAAAATATCTCGGTTACATCCAGCTGATAAAATAGATTTTTAATAAACAAATCGGAATGATTTTTTTTTTTTTTTTTTTTAATTATTTATTTATTATTATCATTATCATCATCATTATTATTATTATTATTATTATTATTATTATCATTATTATTATCATTATTATTATTATTATTATTATTATTATTATTATTATTATTATTATTCCCCCGCCCCCTGTCGAATGAAAGAGAGGAATGAAAACGTAATAAGGCATTTATAAGACTCTGTGAATGGTTATTCAATAGTTTTGAAAATCTTTGTGCACACATAGAGGACAATTGTTGCGGATAATGGCACCTGTTAAAATAACTGTTTCAAAAAAAAAAAAAAAAAAAAAAAAAAAAAAAAAAAAGAGAAAAAAAGATGAAAGAAGAATGAAAGAAGAAAATTTGAAACACTGGACAAAAAACTACGTAAATTTATAGTTTGCTAAAACGCTCGAGAGTGCGATAACAGTCTAATAATAATAATAATGAACATATCTTCACGTTATAGATGATGTGCACGTGCACGTGCACGCTTCACGGCATTTCTCGTCACAAAATTTGTAAAATAAAGTTAGCCAGCCGCGTATGATAATACTATTTCATTTATGCCTTGCGTACTTAATACGAGAAGAAATTTTCCGACTTAGCAATTTATAAATAAGCATTGACAAACTTTCTTCAGAAATTATTCTTGACCTCGTTTCTTTTTTTTTTTTTTTTTTTTTTTTTTAACTTCATTCGTTCAATTAATTATTCACAACGATTAATTATCTCCACATTAATCACATTCTAATTATATTCTGTAAATTTATATAATTAGTTGTGTAAATAAAGTAGGGATGAATATTAAACAGAAAATCGTGCTTCTCGAGGCATAAGCAAAAATCAAAATAAAAACAGTTAGCATCAAAATAATCATTAATCGTACAATAAATAAATAAACAATGGGTCAAGAGTCAATTTTGTGACAGCTGTTGCACATCAATATTTATTAATTCTATTATTATGTTTTCAACGTATCGATTGTAAAGTAATTATTAATGAAAATTACTCGACTGCATTAATAATAAACGAGTCGATATTGCTGAGTACTTTCACGCAGTTCGTCAGTTTCTAATAGTTTAGATAGCTTGTAATTTGCTGGAAATACATATTCGTTTTCGTATCTTGCACGTTTGTATGCGCGTATTATACATTTACAACAATCAGGGATAATCGTGCACCAATGGATTTTCGACATTTGTCACATTGGATTTTTCCAAATTAGTAGGGGATCTGTTGACGTTTGTTTTTCATTATTGCCACCTCGACAGTCCTGCCCAGAAAAATGTGCCGATGATTTATCATCCATCATCTCCTTCAAAATAGAGTTAATCAATGATCGATTACGTTTTTTTTTTTGCTCCGTGTCGCGAGAAAGGTGCAACTGTCGAGTCCGGTCGCTACAAAGCTATCTTGATAATAAGTTCTTGTACGTACCTCGACTCGACTCGCCTCGCCTCGGATAATCAGATAATCGTTGATAAAAATATGAATGAAACGGTCCATGTGACAAAACGAAGCTGCGACCGTGTACGCGCTATATTTTTATCAAACGGCTAGTTTATACACGTGCTTGCTTCCGTTGACTGCACTGTCCGTGGATTTATGCCCGTTGTGTTTGTGCATGCACATATAATAATAATGCATACAATGATGTTATGTATCTATGTATAGACAACATGTAAAGGCTTGCAGCTTATAGAGCAATAGGATTTGAAAATATCAGTGGCAAATGTATACTACATATAATCTTGCCGACTGATAGATTCAATAATTAGATGGTAGGTAGCTCCGAACGTGGATCCCCCATTCGACTATATTTATTTGAACGTTTATCTTTATTTCTGGCACTATTCCTAGCCGATATCTTAAATTCGATCGATTATGTCAAGGAATTCAATTAAGTACGAGCGATTTGTACATTTACTTAGAGGCAAAGTCTAGCATTACCTGGACCAGCGATTACTGTGTTAAGCGCAAATATCATTTTTGAAATGTAACCTCAAAGAGCACGCATAAAAGGGTCCTATAGATTCAAGTCTTTTTGTGCGTTAAACCTGTCATAGGGTGCCAACACTGGAACGCGTTATTTTACTGTGAGATGTAAATAAAATGATGATTACCTAAGTCCTATATATGTATAAATTAAGCAAGCAAATTAATTAAAAGATTATTGTACATCTGAAAGATGCAACAAATGCCGAAGCATATTCAATTTATTCATGCATTTTAGCGCAACGAGGATTAATAATTTACGTGTAATAAATAGCACGGGTATTCAGTAGCATGTTAATTAAAATTATTTAAACGCGATCAAGTTATTGTCGATTCTCTCAGATGTGCATAGTTCGTATAAGAGAATAAAATGTTTGTGAAGGAAACATTAGGTTTTTTCATTTAATGAATTCCCATTTTATCCCCAGCTTAATCTTCATTCCTTTCATCAATCGAATATTATTTATCAATGCGCGTATCGACAACATTTAACATTCATCATTTGGAACATTTGGAACTGAAAGTTAAAGAAAAACAAAAAACAGAAACCAACCACCACCCCATTTATTTCGTCCAAGAACGATTATTATTCATTCGCAAATTATCACAATGAAGCGGACAAATTTGTAAAAAAATAAGTCGCTGAATCGCATGGTTTTAATCAATGGGAGAGGAATTTTGAAAATATTGAGAAAATTTGCAAGCAATCGATGCATACGCACACGTTAATTGGAAATCATTGTTGTAGAAATAAAAATATTTCTACATATCGTGAACCGCTTATCTGGAAAATTTTTATGATTGCAATCATTGGTTTTTAACATTGAAAAATATACTTTATTTATTTATAACAATCGCTTGAATGAAAAGAAAATTTTGTTTACAAAGATGAAGCGTCAAATTTCAAATTTAGCCTTCTTTTAATGGAAATTTGATCGCGTATAATTTTTCTTAATCGATCGCCTTCAAAATTGAAAGACAACAAAAATTAATGATTTGATCGCTGTATTTCGTCTTATTATATTTATATAAAATCTTTTGAATATTATTTAAGATCTTAAGCATAATCCCGTGAAAAGCGCCAAGCAATGAAATTACATAATTCGTTTGTGTCTGTTGTATAAAGAGATTGATAGATCAAATATAACGATTCCTTATAGCTTATTGTTAATAATAATTTATAAATAAATTGTATATTCAGATAGATATAATCAGCTATCATTTTACTATTAGTATAACAATTTGTTTTTCAAACGAATTCGGAATTAACGCCAAGTATAGGCTTATACAAAGTCTGACGATAAATTGTAGCTCAAACGCTAAACTTCAATTCAATATCTTGTAAACTATACAACTAAAGCAATGTAAAATTTTATTTCTTGCACGAGACTCTCCATCCAGTCTCGGATTGTCAATCGTCTGAATAAAAATCGTTGACACCTATCAATGATTTTTATTGAAAAAAACCGAAGATTTGTAAGGAAGACATGCGGATTCTTAAAAGCTTGGCAGGACTGCAGCACAATACTTAACTTGTCGATATTTTTTTGATTTTCGACAGAAATAAGAAAGTTAAATATACAATTGATTTTGTACACAGTCGCGCAAGTTTTTAACGACAATGGCGCCCTCTACGAGCAATTTTACGTATAAAATACATTTTTCGCTAATGAAAGTCGAACGTTGTTGCTCTATGGAAGTAATTGCCGCTTAAAGAAATGAAGATCAAGCGGCTCAAGAAGGTTCAGAAGAATCTTAGTTTTTTCGTAAACAATTACAAGTTTCGTAAGCCATATCAGATATTGATTGACGGAACGTTCTCGTTTGCAGCTCTTCAAGTTCGTTTTTAACCTAAAAATGATCCCCTTTACTGTTTGTCATTTATTTCTATGTCATATGTACTTTGATATTTTTAGAATAAATTTAACATTAAAGAACAATTGGCTAAATACTTTCAAGCGGACGTTAAATTATTGACAACGCAATGTATCATTGTGGAGACGGAAAAGTTGGGTCACAAGGTTTATGGAGCAATGTTAATAGTAAAACAATTTCCAATACATCAATGTGGCCATGAAAAGAATACTGTGACGGGTTCAAAATGTTTACGATCAATGGTTGGATCCAATAATGAATCTAGGTAATTAATATTTATCAATTTTTGAACGCTATCGCAATACAAGCGTTAAGTAAAGAATTTGTTAGAAAAAAGGATTAGATAAAGTTTAGACTATTGGTCTAGTCGATAATGTGTATTGTAAATATTGTATAGATATGTGATAGCGACGCAGGATCGACTTCTTCAAGAGCAGTTGAAGAAGATTCCAGGAGTTCCAATTATGTATTTACATGGTAGGACACCTACGCTCGAAGCACCGTCTCAAAAAAGTCGTGAATTCGCAGAGCAGATAAGAAGCAAAGTAACAATGACGGATATGCAAGAGGAGAGAATAAAATCTTTGAAGGAACAATTTGGATTAAAAAGCGACATTACAATGCAACCTAAGAAAAAGCATAAAAAAAGCGGACCCAATCCATTGAGTTGTAAGAGAAGCCAAAAGAAAGAAAGTAATTCTATGATCCATACGAGCGAGCATAAAGTCAATGAGAGCGGCAAAGTACGAAAAAGAAAACGAATAAAGTTACCAGCTCACGTGAAAGAAGTGTTAAAGCTAAACACGCACTCGTGACTTGTGCAAATAATATTTGCTCGACACAGAGTAGTGTAAGCGTATAAAATGTAAATAAGAATACTTACTAAACACACGCATATATATATATATATATATATATATATATATATATACACACACGTAAAAGATCTTTTTATTATAATACATTTTGTTCGGTTGATAAGAATAAAGAATTTTTTTTACCTAACTTTGACTTTTTCATGATAGTCTAAATTTTATCGTTACAATTTGACAAAAAATTTTATCCAATAAATTAATGGTTAATTAAATAAAATTTAATGATACAAATAATCAAAAAGCTATTTAATAAAAAATATTAATTTTGTTTCATAGAGAAACCTTTTCGTGTACGGTAATAAACAATTTTTAATAGAGGAGACATTTTTACGTACATTTTTCATCAATTATCAATCAATTTCTCTAAAATCGAGAAATCAATCTAAACTACAGCCTCATCTAAATCAATAAATGTTAAATAGTTTTCTTTCCATTGATAAAATAATAAACATCAATATTATACATACATTGATGATAATGTACTTTAATTAAAACTTATATCTCCAGTCTTACGTGTGACAAGTACGCACGAGTTAGTTATATGCATTTTGAGTTATTGTAAAATGAAAAATTTCTATTATATGTTTGCGTTTATGTAATATCAGTAAAGCTTATGAGGGTTTCAAAAGTGCTTGGGCAGCCATCGCGACCATTTTCAATCTTCTCACTGACCGATGATTTGGATTTGCGGCAATAAAAGCAGCCACCTGACTTTGCAATGCTAGCAATACATTAACCATATGTTCTCGTGTAACTGGGTCGCTTGGATCCAAGCTGATAACGGCTTCCTCCAACCATCTGGGGTATAAAATTAAATTTGCCATTAATAACCGACATTTCGCGAGAATTGCCGAAATTTTAACGACCCGCCGCCAAGTTAATCAATTAATTAAATGCATTTAACATACCGTCCCCCAAGCTCCATTATCGAAAGTACCGAGCTTTATTATAATAGCACTTTAACGAGTAAACGTTAAAAAAAAAAAAACTCATAATAATAATAAATAATAAATAATAGTGAAGGAAGACGTGGACACAAAGATTAATTAATAATCGAATGAGCTCACAAATTTTTTCCCTCTTAAAAATGCACTTGTCAAAGGCGCGCTATAAAAATAATGTTGTTGCGTTAGCTTTAGAATTGAATTAAATGCAACGACAACGAAATTAATATAACGCGAGTCTAATGCGAGGACAGTGTGTTGTACGTAATGGAATAAGACGTTGAAAAGCAGCACCTGTGCTTCAATTCGGTCCTGTGCCCCAAATTCGCCGAGAGCTGTTGGACGAGCGACAGAAGGACTGGCTGCTGGAGCACGCATCTCGAGCCCTGGCCGGGTCCCATCGAGCAGGAGAACACCCGCGCGGGGTCCGTGTTCTCGCAGACGAGCACAACGAGGCCAAGGTCGCTTGCGCTCAGCGCCTGCTGAAAGGCTGCGTTTAGTTGGCCCCGTTGAAGTAGCGACATGACGCGCGCCTGGGCGTCCACGGGCGTGGAACCCGGCAGTCCAGGAGTCGTCGCTCTTGAGCTAAGATTTCATGGGTATTTAATGGATGTTAGGCGATGGGCCGGTGGCCTTGTCTAAAAGTTCATGAGCTTAGATCATAGCCTTAAGTTTTTTTTTTGTTTTTTGTTTTTTGTTTTTTTTTTTTTGCAATACTATTAAAACAAAATATAGTGTGCGATGGATCCACATGATCCAAGGACGGTGCCGATACAATTTCTTATACAAATCATAATAAGATTAATTGGCATATAATTTTCATAATGGATTATTTTATTTCGCTGGAGAGCGCATACTTTTTACAATAAGTACGTTCTTTTTCGAGAAAATTGAAAAGAATGAAATGTCCTATGTCTCACGATGATTATATGCTTTCCTTATTAACACATTATGGGGTGAGACGTTGAATTTATTTTCATAATAAATTTTGTCTCGTATGCGACGAATAATGTTAGTTTATTCAGAAAATAGCCTATTAATAAATGATCTCTATTTAATTAGATATACCTATAACGCAATTGTTGTTGCCGTTGTGATTGTTATTGTAGTTATCGTATTGGAATTGAAAATTTGAAAAAAACTTATAGGATGCTGCTCGATACTTTCATTGTAATAATCAATAAAAATTTAATAATAATTTTAAAGATCTAAAGAATTATTGATAATTTGATGAACGAGTGTAAAATTAATATAAATCTAAACACCCTAAGTGAGCGAATAAAATTTTTCATTATTACAGAATTATATAAATGGTAATGTGACGAATTATTTTGTCTTTAAAACTTTTCCTCCACAATTTAGTACAAATCAATGAGATTTTCAAATTTCTATACAAAGTTATATATATACATATAAAAAAAAAGAGAATAGCGATTACTTTATCGGATTTTTTTGTCGTAGTTTGTAAAATTATTTCATTTCAAGCACAATGTTAAATATGGCTCGTTTTACAACAATACACGTAAAATATAGAAAAACTTACTTAAAAAGCATTGAAATGGAAAATATTTCATCAGCGATTCAAATATTATCAATCTGTAATTTTACACGAATAAATAGATACATAAAGAAGCTTCTTACGTAAAGATATAAAGAGAATGCAGCATTACGTAAGTACGTAAATGTTTTAATAAACAGTTTAATAATTAATTGCATGTAGTATAAAATATAAATAGATAGTATATCATTTCGATTAAACTATTTGAAATTTGAGATTGAAAATTATAGTATCCTTAATTAAACTATTAATATGTCTGTTCTTACCGAATACCAGAGATATCCGACATGTGCTGAGTGAAATTTTCCCTTACAGAATCTCGGACACTTCGAATCGTATTTTCTTGCATCACCGATAAGCCTCGAGAAAATTCATTCTGCATTTCTTCCCGAATTGCAGTTGCCAAAGCCTCGCTTTGCTGCTTATTCTGACGCTGATATTGCTTATCCATGATCGAGTCAACATTCTGAAGATCTATAAAATCGAAAGTTTTAGAGATTTTTCGTTTATATGATAGTAGCAATAAAGTTAAATGTATGGATCAACATATTTTATGGAAAGAAAAAATTAAATATATATATATATATATATAATTTATAGATTTTATTCCATACGACTTAATATTATTCAATAATATATGTTATATATACATTATCAGACAATGCAATCATTATCAGTAAGCTGCACTTACATTCTCGGGTGCCAATAAGAAAAGCATCTTGCACCTGCTTGAACATATTTTGACAAGCTTTTTCCATTCCCGGTAATAGGGTGCCGGTGAAAACCTCCTTGAAAGTCTGTTCCAGCACAGGCTTGGCCGCGTTTTGCACCGTCGTCGCGAGCGCTTCTTGTACTTGTATTCCGCCAATGACCTTTGTTAAGTTCTCCTGAACGATGCGATCAATTTGCGCGGTGTCCAACCTTAGTTGCATCTTCAGCGGCTCGACAAGCTCGCTTACGACCCTCGGTATTGTCAGCTCGATTTCCTTCTTGACAGCTGTTTCGAGAGTTTTGAGGAAGTCGTGTTGCCGAGATGTTTGGTTCAGCAACGACAATTCGATACTCGTCGTTTGTTGTTGGGCCGCCTTCGTCAGCGCTGATTCTACGCGATTCGCTAGTGGAGTTTCTTGACGAAGTCGTGTCACCTTTAGACATACAAAACAATTATCAAATCGATCCTTATCGATAATTAACAATTTCTAAATATTGATAATTTGATAATTTGATAATTTGATAAAAATTGATGTATTGATAATTAATCGGTAAATTAAAGCAAATTTTTTTTGTTTTTTTTTTTGTTTTTTTTTTTGTTTTTATTATAATAACGAAGATATTATTATATTGTTGTTTTAATGTTTTTCAAGTATGAGAAAAATTTACCAAAATTCTGTATGTATGGTATGCGTGGTAAATCGCGATAAGAGTAATACATGTTTTGTAGAAGAAATAATAATAGTAGGGGTAAATGTGATGTGGAAAATAAAAAGCAAAAAAAGAAAAGAACATACTTTGGTTAAAGGATATTAATTAAAATATATATCAGGTATATATAAATTAATAAAACAGATTGTGTTTGTTTTGATTTAGATATCAATCATGATTTAAGTTACTAGATTATATGATTTAATTCTGATAAGTCATACATTTTACAAATTTTACAGCACTGGAAAATCAAGAAATTTAGAGTTCCAAGTCACATTACCTCAACTCGTAGTTCACTGAGTTCTTGTTGTTGATCCTGTACGATCTCGAGTAGAGAATCGAGTTTGCTTGTTATTGGATAGATATGGTTTGCTAAGCCCCATTTATTTTGGTTGTCTTCTGGCACTACTAGAACTGGCGAAGGTTCTTTTTTAATATGTAGTTGATCGCTTGTAATGTCTTCTTTTCCTTGTTCCTGCATAGCATGGAATGCGTCTTTTATCAAGCCTAGAAATTATTAAATCATAAGTTTATAGTAATTTTTAAGAGAATAAAATATAATTAATACGATACACGATAAGTTATAAGTGTGCTAACAATACTTTTGTGTACTTCATTAGTATATTAGGATATACCAATTAAATATCAAATATTTATTTGTAAAAATAATTTGCAATGTCAATTTACACATAGGTATTTGTGACCAGTCTTCGTTGGTTGTTGCCGTTGCTTCAGGCTTTACTTCAGATTCATTTTCTTCAGGTTCTGCAAGAGACAAAATTTCACAAACTTCCCTCGAAGGGCTACTGCCCCCACTCGGAGGTGCAACCAGATCCTTAAGTCTACTTGTAGCTAGTGGCTGGTCCGCTGCATTCAGTGTCTGTACTGTCTGCGCAATGGAGGGACTAGCTGATTCTATATTGCCAAGTTGTGGACTAGAGGATTTTGAATCTAACGCATTTTCTTTTTTGGCTGGAGAGCTAAAAGCATCTGGTGTCATTAAATTTAATCCAGAAGCATGATTGGAAGCTAATTCTACTGCTTCGGTAATATTTGTATCTTCTTCGCCATTTTCACCTAAAGAAATCAATTGCTTTATGAAAATATAAATAAATAAATAAAAATTAATTTAATATTACGAAAAATTTCAATAAAATATTAAAGTACCATCATTTGAAATTAATTCTAATAATAAAAACAACATCAAAGTCATAATGAATTTCAAACAGATTTATAAAAAATTTTATTTAATATATATTAAATAATTATTAAGATACAATATATACTGACAATTTTATACATTATGTATCAGTTTTAGGTTTATGTCTTGATACGGTAATTTAATAGCTTTAAAATTGTAGCAGATATTTTATTCATTTATGGCGTTTCCAAGAATTAGACATAATAGATAATAGTATTATTAATATTAAATTAATATTTTTAGTAATAAGACAATAGAATAATATTATCTTTACCATCATCGTCGTCGTTTACTCCAACAATGCCATTGTGATTCACTGTACTAATGTCCGGTAAATCTTCAGGATAATCCAATGAATCATGGGTTAATGTATCCATAAGACAACTACCGTTCATTACCACCGGTGATCTAAATGCAATATGACATTCTTGCAATGACTTTGGTTGAACGAGGTACATCCTTATTACAAGTTGATCTTCATTCTCATCGTCACCTGGGCACAAATCCTCCAGCGATTCACTGGTAGGCCTTAAGCGCCTTTGACCAGCGTCGACTATTGCAAAACTTAAAATGGGATATGGCAATGGAAATTCGGACACGGTATTTATAAAAGCTACGGCTTCCTCACTGTCTTTTGTAATGCTCAATATGTACAATACTTTATTATAAATATCTGAAAGGAGCAGGTAACCAGCAGCAAGATCTAGTCTGGCTTTTAGGACTGGTGCCTTTTGAGTTGTCGGCATTGGCGCAAATTTTATAGTTTGCAAACAAGTCCATAATTCACAAGACCAAACTTTTAATTCGGAATTGTTTTCGCATCCTGTCACAGCGAATCTCCAGAACTGTGTACTATAAAATTAAATTCAAATAGAAGTTTAATCGATAGAATTTAATTAAGCGTACAAAATGTATAGTATATTTATATAATATTTAAATAGAATATTAAACATGGAACGAATTGAGCAAATTATTAATTTCGTGTTTTAAAAGTACAATAAAATAATTACTCGTCAATTTATTTTATCCTATGATAAATTACATTCTATAATTTCAATTAACTTAATGCATGTCTCTAATAATTAATTTTTTTTTTTAATTTATTTTAATCGATTTTAATCTTACGATAAATTAAAAATAATGAAAGTATAGAAATTGTGATACAATAATTATTTTGAAAAATATCTAAGTAAGCAAACTTGTAAGTATAATCATAAATAAATTAAGTACACATATATTTTTTATCGTAATAGTGTTATGTAATGGAAGTCCAAGACTACATAAATGTTATCAAATTGTCATATTTTGATGCATTTGTTGCAATACCAAACATTTTGAAATTACATATCATTGTATACTATTTCAAGTACACTATAGTGATAAAAATCAATTATTTACATCAATATTAATTGTATTAATTTCTAATTATTTCTACCATTAAGGATAAATTCAAGTAAAGAATGTAAGAAAATACTAATTTTATATTATTTGAGATGATTATCTTAAATCCTCTACTTACTCGGAATGGTGATGTTTGTGATCATCTAGAAAAAACAATGAAGATATTGGACGTCCATCGTGTGGTCTCCATTGATGCAAACACCTTGGTGGTTGTTGGCCACATGACGATCCGTGTAAATAAACTTGGAAAAATTTGACTTCGCCATCCGAACTTGCCGTTGCCAGAGCTGTACCATCAGGACTAAATGTCGCTTCGACAATATTTCCTGAATGTTGGTAAATTTCAAGCATCACATTATTTTCTTTTATTTCAGGATCTGTAGCCTATATAACGATAACTACTGTCACAAATTTGTCCCATAACATAGAAGAATATTCAAAGTAAAAATTAATATGAAATCATTTTACCTTTATGGGTGTATTAAAAAAGCGCGAGGCAGCCGATATCGACCATAATTCAACTTTTGAACCACGTGTAAGAACCAATAATTTTGAAACTTCATCTTCGTCTGTTACTTCTTCTTCCGGAATATATGGACACCATATAACTCTATGATTCATCGGCGACACATCGTCAGCTGTTACTTGTAGAACTAAACTGCATAATAGTTCTGTACTTACAGGTTCAATAGCATATACAAATAGACTTCCGGTAAAATCGACGCATGCTAAAATAGGATTGCATACATGGGCAAACGCAAGATCTTGAATAAGACCACGCATTCCTCTTATTAGAGTTCTTTGTTCCAAATCTTTATTTACAACACGTACCACACCATTGCCATTTCCAGCTATATATAATGCAAAATAAGAAAGTTCATATTTCGATATTAGAAAATTGAACGTACTAATTATTTACATCGAGTAAAGTAATTTTGTATCGCTAATGTTTACCTTTTATACCATAAGCAAGGTACTTTCCAGACATGTGGACGGCTAATAGTTGGCCAACATAATAGCGATGTTCCCAAGTAAAGTCAACAATGTTTTTTAATTTCACTTTAGAGCTTCCATGATTGTGCCCTCCTGGTGAAGGTACTATGATGACATTAGTACTTACAATCTCAGCAGTGAGCTGATCCTCCCGGCCACTAAATTCTCTTAATTATGATAAACATAAAATATAAATAATAAATACATAAAGTTAAATCGTATAATTACAAATTCCAAAGTAAAATGTATATATCGCATTATGTTAATTATGCATAATTAAAGGGCACGATAGCTTAATTAATATTAATGGTTATTTAGAAAATTTGATATTTGTTATGCGGATAAATTAAGGTAATGTAAACTGAGGCTATTGAAATTAATGTAAATTGGTCGAATAATAGAAAGCAAAGTAGGTAAAGAAAAGAATAAACGTAAAATTAATGCGTGAGAGGCTATTATACATAATCGGGCATGTGGTTTAGAAACAAACTGGGGAAAAAATTTGTAAAAAAAATCTATTATACACGTAAACTTACACAGTCTGTCGCATATTATTATCTTCCCCGTTCTTGATCATGTTGTCAATATTTTTCGTAGAATCTAAAACAGTTTTAGTTAAAAATTCACTTACCATCAAACGAGGTAATGGATTCGTCGTAAATTTAATTAATATTAAGACAATAAGAGGTAGGACATAACCTTGTAACACACCGGCTCTTAAACATTTTGCTCATATCACTGTTACAATATAATGTTGTACCTCTCATAGGAATTTTTGATAATGTAAACTATACGTTACTTTATACTTTACCTCGCGCATATATTCTTTGTTTTTTACACTGGTTAGAGCCTCGCTTGCGTCGTCTTTTTAATTCTCAGAAATTCTCCGTCTCCTGTCTCGGCTTACCAATTATTTATGTCTGCATTATTATCGACCAATTTATCATTGTAACGTAAGCGAAAGTTAATCCAAGAACTTTCACACGACCAATAATAAATAATAACGAGCGTGAAAAACGAGAGAAACAATATCAATTTGCGTCTTGGTCACCTGAAAGAGAAGGTTAGTTTAGTCGTCGTGACGATCACTTTACTAATTGTCACCGAAACATGACGTAATCGTGTTACGAGTGAAGGAACTAACCACCAGGCGGCTTTATGCTTTGTAATTTTCCTAGAATAGCTCGTAAGATTATTTATATTGATATATCACCACTACTATGCCATTCAATATGAATAATATCGAGCCGCAACGAAACATCTCGATTGTTTATATTTAATTGACTTTTTATTTAGCGCGTAATTTTTCACGCGTGTTCGAGGATAAACTACCCTAACTCTTTGTTTGCTCGTTGAATAACTACATTCTTGCATATTAGAAGGAAAAACAAACGACTTGGGCAATTTTTAAGATTAATGTTTGAATACAACTATAATTCAATTAAAATTCTGGAATACTTGGAAGTAGTCATGATTCAAAAACTTATGAGCTCTTAGCAACAACTACTACGCTAGTGAAAAATGTTCTCGTGTCTCTTAAAAATCCGAGATTCGCTCGATTCATATTCAAATTACCAGAGCTGAACAGCATTCGTTTACCGGAACCGCAGTTTCTCTACATTTCATCAATTACGAAAACTAACAATGTCTTTACGTACAATTTGAATAATTAATATTTTTACGTCTCTAATCGAATAGACAGTTTAGGTAGGTATCAATGGCATACGATATAAGCAAATATTTGAGAAAAGATAAAATTGAAGATTCATATTTTGATCGTGAGATTCTGCTTACTTTTAGCATCGTTTATATCTATTATTCAACACATAACTATTTTACATCTTTACAAATAGTATTCTCTATACTGTTTTTATATAAAGAATACTTAATACTTTGACATTGGATCAACGTGATTTAAAGTAAAAATTCCACTCTCTTTCATAATGTTTTATGCTTATTACATATTATTTATATTGAATTATAACATTCATTCATTATAACCGGAGTATTTTATATTTTATATTTCATACCTCTTTCGCAAAGCACGTAACGCACATAAATAATAATGGTGATAAACGTTAGAATATTTAATTTCATATAAATGTTTAATTTCACATGTGTCATAGATGACAATTATATTTGATAAAACCTTGACATAAAAATATTATGGCATTCGACAGTCGGGCATAATATAATATATATATAGTTTTGTTGGATTTAAATACATTTTGACAGTGATTGTAGCTTTAAAAAGATATTTGTTAATTATTCAATTTTTGTTTTTTTTTGTTTTTTTTTTTGTTTTTTTTTTTTTTTTTTGTTTTTTTTTTGTCTTTTTTTAATACAAATTTTGACTCTTTTCATTCCAAGTTTAACAATGCGAGTAATTGTTGAATCAGGCATATTCTTAAAATATAAATGAAATTTAAAAGTTTGCGTTATTAAATTATTTGAAAAATACTCTTTCTGACTTAATACGTTAATAGAATTTGAACCAAAGTCATTTTACTTTTAATTTCAAGAGTAAATGCAAAATTTACTATAAACTTTGTAAATAATACGTAATATAAATTGTATGATTTGGTAAAATTTTTTTTTTTATAAACAATACAATTTTTAAAAGAGATAAAATTAGATATTAAATTTGAATTAAATAAAAAATAAATAAATAAATAAAAACAATATTATATTCATACTGATTTATTCGAATTGTTTGCTTAATTTAAAAGTCTCATTAATGTTATAACAATTACTACTTGAAAAGAGTAAAAATTATACTTGTGTCTCAAGCTTTGAAAGTAAAAATACAATTTTATTGTTGTTAATACGTACGAAATTACCAGGCTAAGTTTCCAAACAAGAACAAGTAACTATAAATTTTAATGTTTCACAATGAAATCTGAGTGTATCTTCGTTATAAACTACAATACAAACTCTGAAAGTTTTAAAACAATTTTTTGTCTCTATTGTTTTTCTTCCGTTTGCCCCTGACTTCCATATATAGTTGAATTTAATTTAGTTTCTTATAATAATAATAATTTACAAATTCATTTTATAATAAGGAATGTGTGTAGGATTAATACTACGTATTACATAATAATATATTATAGTGTTAATATATGGATGAAAATAAAATTATAAGCACAAGAAGCTAATAAAAATTATGACACACAGTGTGCGCTTTAAACTTAATTTAAATTTTTCAAATTTCAATTCAAATTTAATTTAAATAAAGTTTTTAAAGTAGACCTATGATTTTAAATTAAGTATAATGTGGAGTGCAAGTTAATTATCTCAATGAATACAAAAAATCATTACGCCGAAGTTTGCTTTAATTTTTTGAGGAAGATGAGGTTGGAAAGTTAAATTATATCTGTTTATTATAATAAATTTATAATTTTTTGATCGTTTTTTTTATAAAATTATTTATAATGATAAATAATAATTATTATGAAAATAATATATATATATATATATATATAAACAAAAGTGTGAACGATTAAAATTAAATATACAAATATAAGCGGATGGGTTTCGAAAAAAAATTATTTAACAGTTTTTGTGTACAGTAACATGATAAATTGAAACTTTTAAAGTTCAGTAATTTTATTATTATTATTCAATAAAGATAATTTACAGTTTTTAACGTGTCGTTTTAATTGCTGAAGAGAAACAATGTATGACTTTACTATGATGAACTGCCTACAAGAATAGTGGATAATAAAATAACGAGAATATATTGTAATAATAATTATTATCATAATAATTTTACATGTAGCGCTATTTATATTTGCATGTAGGGTTCTACATCAAATTTACATGTTATTTAATAATTAATTTACACTATAAACAGTATATTCATTGACCAGTGTACATATCTAAGTATTGAAACATAGCAGTGTGGTCAATGAAACATATGTTGGTGACAAATAAAATATGGTAGTAAATTTAATTATTTTTTATTATTGAATGAAAATTTTTATAACGCGCCAAAGATATGATATTTAATATCTAATCATTACATAACTTTATCGTTCATCTGTTACCATTTCTTTTTAACAAAGTTCGACGATTTTTTGGCGTTTTTCACTCAAATCTTAAAAATCAGGTTGAAATTGTTGATTTGATAATAATAAAAATATATTGGTAATAAATCAGAAAATATTAGTAAGGTATCGAACAAATTTACATTACAATTTTTAATTATATCTAAATTTATCTAAAATCATATAATTTTATGAAAATGTTTAATAAATATTATTTTAATATTTCATATAGTTCATGACCATTAGACCATTATATAGAAAAGTACACTGAGCCACTGAGTCAATTTAAGACGAAAACAATATCCTAATAAAAACTGTATTATTACATTATTTAGTTTAATGATTTGCGAGGCATCTTCAAGGCGTAGCGCGATCCCTTTCATTGTTTACTGTTTTTTCTAAGAAAAATCAGTATTTTGTTTACTTCCATTTACTACTTTTATCGCTAATTAATATAATATAATATAATATAATATAATATAATATAATATAATATTATATATATATATATATATATATATATATATATATATATATAACTATGTAGATAATATTTTATTTTATATTTAATAAGTATATGATTTTTAATAAGCGTAATATTCAATTAACCTACGATTTTAGTTTATTTTTCATCACTAATTTATTAATCACGTTTTGTTAAATTTTTTATTGTTTTCAAAATTTTTCCTTTCTTTTTATTATGGACAAAATTAAATTTTATAACATAAAGTAAGATAATTTTCAGAATTTATATCAGAGATAGAAATTACATTATTTTAGTTATATAAAATGGTCCCGGCCGGATATAATAATTTCAAGCTGTAATTAATAGTACGTAATTCTATAAACATTAAATATAGATTTTATGTATTATAAGTGTCAAGCACGATACAATATATAATTATTATTTTACTTGTTTATTTTCATTAAAAATACTTGAGATCGTTTAACATGAAAGTTTAATAATTATTTGCGTGCAAATTAATATTTTGAGTCCTCTCCAACTTTTCTTAAGTTTTTTATTATTTTTTTTTATTTATTTTTTTTTTAAATTTTCTTTGAGTGCCCAGAAACAAACTAGCTGATTTTGTATAATCTTTCATCGGTGTTAATAAAATTTATCTTTTAATGTAATAAATAATTTAATTATGCGCTAATAATACAGTTTCACTTTATTATTAAACGGACGGAAAAGTTGTTTATCGTTTTGTGGTCCATACAGGTGTTTATTATATGAGCTTTTGAGCTTGTAGTAAAATAGCATTGTAGGAGATTCTGTTTGAGAGCACCCTTTACGTAAATAAAGAAGCTTTTCAATTTGAGCTTGAATTTGGTAGTCGAATGTGCAATAAATACAAATTATATTTTCTATCGGTTACATACATGTAAGTGAATGTTAATGTCAATACTATTGTAATGTAAGTTAAAAGAAAACAGCATGAGGTTTTATTTAACATTTGTAATATATTATCATGTACAAATAAATAAAATGCATTTCAGACGTATTGTATAACTGAAGCGCCGCGATTATTTTTTATAATACATCAACATAAAGTATAAAATCATTAGAGTTTATCGTCAAAACTTAAAAGTGAGCGAAGAAAAATGTCTAAATCACTGATATGCTTAGAAAATATTGCTCCTCTAACTATAATGTCTAGAAACTAAATCGAATAAGCATAATAAATCGTATAAGAATAATCGTATTTGAATGTCGTCTGTACAATAAATCTTAACATTAATATGCGATACGTAATTAATACTTAATAAAGGACAAAAGGCCTAAGTGGATAATAAAACTGAAAACTTTTTTTGTTTAAGAATTTTTTTATATATTATGAATTTCAATGTCGTTTGCAAAAAAACAAAAAAGAGAGGGAATTTTAAGGAATTAGTTTTTACCAATTTCAGGGTAGAAACTAAGTAAATCTTGAAATAGTTTTCCAATTGAAATAAGATAAAATGCTAGCTCAATTTATTTATTTTTATCTATGGAGAGTAGTTTTTGTGTAATTTCAAATTTATACTTTAGTACCTTTATTTATATTTTCTTATTTTATTTGGAATTATTGTTATTTGATTATTATTATTATTATTATGATTATTATTATTATTATTATTATTATCATTATCATTATCATTATCATCATCAGATGATGTTAATGTCATTTATTACTGCATCAATCACTAATTTGCATATATCATGATCTATTAGCTCATTTGTATATTATCTAATCATATTTGCATATGGATGAATTTTTGTGTATTTAATTTTCAGCTTTGAAATTCTATAAAAAATAGTTTTACTGTGCGTGTAATAACACAGGGAAAAGTATAATTAAATTTATACGTCATTATTCAGTTTTTATATATCTTCTTCTGTAATCATGCATTATGTATATCGTTTGATTTATTTTGCATTATTTGAATTTACGCAGATTTTCCCTAGAAAATTGTGCACAAATTCTACAAAATGATAACCATCGAAGCTAAATGAACTATTATTCAATAATTATGTACAATTTTTATTCTCAGAGAAGAATGCTGGTATCGCATAGAATTGCCTTTGTAATCGATATATCTTTCATATTAGTTGCAGATATAGCGTATGAAATTCACAATACATAATAAGTGTCAGTTAATTACGTTTTTCAATTCAATTTAGAAACAACCCGTAGGATTGTAAATGTTAAAAACACACAAAAAAAAAAAAAAAAAAAAAAATCATCGGACAACATGACAAACTTGACTAAAATTTCGTTTCATTTATAATCTATTCATATCACGATGTCAACATGTATAATTTATTCTTCCTTCTTCACTAGGTACATATTTTCATTTTAACTTCTTATTTATAGTTGAGAGGTTAATATAAGCGTTCTATCTCATCGTTCACATCGATTACCTATAACTTAGCGCATTTTGTTTCCGCTATGACGGTGATGACGATCATTGTTATTAAAATTATAATTTTTAAAATACTGTACACAAAGAAATATCTACAACTTGTCGACGATTTTTTACTTTACTAATAAATAATTTTTTTCTTTTCATAGCGCTACAAGCTTGATACACATTCGCATGTATCTTGTATGGCCGTCAACGATTGAACTTATAATGTTTACATTATATAATTTATTTACGCTTTTGTACGAAAGAAAAAGATGAAATTTCTGTAATTCCTATTGCCCCGCAATAGGAATTGGAAAATGTTCGAATTGGTAAAGTTCTCCTATACGTATTAACATAATATCTCGAGGATATGGGGAAAACATAAATTAACGAAGCTAATCGTCATTATAAATAAGTCCGCTTTACGCTTTGATGCGGTTGCGCTTCCTTGTAGACGCATCGAGTAATCAAAAAGTATCGTGACGTAGTTAAAATTGTTAGACTAGAGGGATGCAGGAAGTAATTTTATTCCTTGATAGTGTGTGTGCACATACGTTGTACGTATATATTTTCACCATCGACAGTGCGTTCATCTTTTGAGGAACCGAAAGAAGCCCTTGCGTTTCTCTGGTGGTGGGGCCATCAGCATCGGTACTTGATTTTTGTGAGTGATATTAATCTGCAATAAAGCGTTGCGAATGTTTTCCTGAATTATGTCTGGATCGAATGATAGTTTCAACTTTATAGAGTTTATATAATCTGACAGTTTAGACATCATATGTATTTTTATAAAAAATTTGATGGATGGTGGGTGGTTTCACATTTTCAATTTATTATTTTATTTCATTTTATTGCATCACGATAATATTATGTTAGATTATAAATGTCAGATATTTTTACTTACGGTGCATGGCCCTTGCATCCAAGGTTCACCGTCGATCTGCATGGGAAATCGCTTCGATGTGGTGATCTGGACGCTACTACATTGCGCCAATCGTCTGCCTGAAGCGCGAAGTCCAGTTTTTACTTGACCCATGTGTAAACAATTTTCTAGGCCGATTACTTCAATGAGGTTATCGCCTATGTCTGTAATTATGCATAATGCTACGTAAAATGATATTGCTTTTTTTTTTTTTTTTTTTTTTTTTTAACTAGGTGATTCGAATTTTCACGTCGACGATACTTTGAATGATATTAAGCAAATTCTCCAGCTGCCTATGAACTTTAAGATACTCAATTTTAAATTATAATTTGCATTAACTTTTATGGATATGCAGCTATAATTTGGAGCAAGCTGTATCGACGAAGGGATTACACACAAGCATTATATAACATTATATAAAGAGAAAAATCCAAGTAAAATTTCACTCGCTCGTTAAAATCATTAAAACTGACGTGGTGACAATCACGTGATGGACACAGTTACATATTATCTGTAAATGAAGAATGTAGAGTGCACCTTGTATCGCCACTGTGAGGTCCACGGAATTAAAGCTACTGGTACTGAGCTCCTTGTCGGGGCGCTTTTTCCGTTTGCCGAGTCGATGCCGCGTATGATGCTCGCCCCAGAGGTTCGAACCACCGTGGGTGAAAGGAATGTTTAGTAGAGCTACGCCCTGAAGCGATGGACCGTGGGCCAAGTCCAGGGGAACGCCATCACACTGGAACAGTTTCGAGTCATTATAAGAAAAGTTTTTAAATCATTAGCATGCTAGTGTTTGTGTATGGATTTGAAATATGATTTGATAATCTTTTGGAATAACCCGGTCAAATGAGAATCTTTATTCATTAAATGAAAATGGTTATTTCCTTAATCAATGAATTGGATTAATGTTCCTTTTGTGCAACTGAATGCATTAAATTTTTGTAAAACGTTCGGTATTAGACGGCGTTTGGCAACGATTGGCAATTAAACGACCTTGGTACGGTCTATTTTGCATTTATACGTAACGCTAAATACGTAAAAACGAACATCAAATATGGCCAATAACGCGTCCATCCTATTAAAATCTTTAAAGAGACGATGCATAATCGATTAAGTACCGTGCCCCGTATTAATTCAATAGTGTAACGAAAAATCAGCATTCGTTGAGTTAAAACGGTTGAAGATTGCTTGCCGAGGCTGGTAGAAGTAATATTGCATCGACTGTACTCGCCACCCCAAGGCCAACAATTGCTGTACTCACGATAATTTCGAGGTCTTCGTGAAGATTCTTACAGCTCGCGGCGAATTGCTCGGTCGTGGCGTACTCAAAGTACCAGAGCTTATTTTTCATGCGGCTGTTGAACTTTTGCGGATTTTTCTCGCGTTCGAGGTGAAACTTGACGCAGATCGCCGCGTCCACACCCACGGAGAAATAATTGTTAATGATGTTATAGGGTATACTATCTTGATTTGGTTTCTTCTCTTCCGACTGATCTGCAACTTCGATCTGCCATCGATCCATCATTACCGGCGTCGCTTTCTCGATTTTCTGCACAGTGATGCATTGTAACGAGAGCATTACTACTTTGAAATTAATTTTAAATCTTTGAGCTCAAGAATTTATTTTCGCTTCGTTGACTCTTATTGCTGCTTTATTCTAATTTCTTATTCAATATTTCGTTAAAAAATTGCGTTCATTAACAGGAATGAAATAAAAATTCAATTGTAATTGAATAATCATCGCGTTATTCAATTCTTATAAACAAAAAAGAGAGAATGCATTTTAAAAAGTAATAATTATCTCTGTTTATTTATTCTTCGTTTTACATTGTTTGAAGTTAATTAGGAATTAAGTAAAAACGCTGGTCAATTTACCGATTAATAAAATATTATCTTACCCATGCTTTATCAAATATAAACAATTAGTTTTAGGTAATTTAACAAACATATAAGGCAAATATCGAAATATAATGTGCTATGTTACCTTTAAAACTTTATGAATGGCTTCACCTTCGTAGCCACCACCCCAGCGTAAACATCTTGCCAAATCATTTCCGGTTCCAAGTGGTATAACCGCAACGGCCGGTTGATGTTCAAATTGGACTCGATCTGTAGCAAGCATTCGAAAATTAAACGACCAGTACAATTCTTGTATTAATCTTTTGATTAATCGATCGTTGGTATAGTGCCACAAATACGTCGAATATTCTGCCTTATTCGCCCATTCTCATAAACAATTGTGAATGCAATTTTACTTTTTTATATTTATATGATAATTCTACGTTAAATTCGTGTCCTCGTAATTTTTGTGTTACAAAATATCAATCTTCAATGATACGATAAAAAATTAAGGAATGTATCAAATTAATAATCAACACTCCTGTCGATTTGAACATTTGCTTATTTGATATATTTTCTTTTTCTGTTCTTCCAGTTTACATTACGTTAGAAAATGTGCGAGAATTAATTAAAGTTTAATTATGTACTATATTTGTTCATTGAAAGTAAAATTTTAAAAGAAATTAATTCCTTTGGACTTAGTTAGCGATAATTAAATTATATTGCTCGTATTAAACCAAATCTTATAAGACATTCGTCCCATGACGTTAATCAATTACAAAATCATTCGTGCAAATAAAAAAAAAAAACAGCGGCAAAGAGTTTTTCACTCTGTTTTTTACTCTTAGGTACGTAGGTGGTCAATGAACTTGGCCTCGTATATTAGATACGAGACAAACGCACCCATGGTCTCCAAGACCCAGCCTACGGTTCCATCGCCTCCACAGCAAATGACCTTGAATTTCTCCACGTCCTTGAACATCTGTAAGCCCTGCATAGGGCCGCCGATGGCGAGATTGTGCACCTGTCGAGGATTGAGAATGTATTGGAATTTTCGGAGCATGCGCTCGCCTTGACGGCCGCCGGACTTTGGATTTATGAAGACCAGCAAGGGTGTGGTAGTTGATAGCGGCGTGATCTGGAAGGACATGGCCGGCTGCTGGGCCGAAGAGCGCGTTGACAAATAGCCGCCCTTGAGGAGTAAATACGTACTTTGATAAATACGACGGTGCGATTGATCGAGGAGTTCGTTTAGGAAAAATAATATTCTGTCGCTCTGGAGATTAATAAAATCATTTTTCATTCGTTTTGTTTATCCGCGGATTATTTCAGGCTTATTATTAGATAGGCATTACCGTTAACATTCATCATTTTGCTAATTAACATTGATCGAATGCTGTTGATACGATAAACTTGTTTACTTCTCACATGTCAGTTATTCATCTTTTGTAATTATAAGTAGAGGCAGATATGGATGTTTGAAAAAATTATTATAATAACTTGTGACATTGAGTATTGTCACATTTGATAGAGGGAACGAGAGAGGGAACGAGAGAGGGAACGAGAGAGGGAGGGACGGAGGTGAAGCAAAAGTTTATTTTACTCTGTGCAACGTTTGACATTGCGTTTAAACAAAAATATATCACAATATTTAGGATGATAATAATACGAGCTATGTGCTTGTGAAATATTAACAATAAATTATCAGGAGATCGCGATAATTTGGTATAATACTAATTACAAACTAAACCTTCAAACTAATAGCTTAAACTTTTACGTCACAGTCACTATGTCACAGTTTTACACAAGATTTTTGTAAGAAATTTTTAAAGAAGGATAAAAATAATTATGTACTGAAGAAAATCTCTCAAAGATTTTATAAAAAATTTTAATTACTTTACGAACTCTATCGATGACGTATATCGTTTATTTCTTGCCATGCAAACTATTCGCATTCATACCATTATAAGAAAATTACCTTTGATAATATGTTTTTATTTAAATGAACGAATGTGATTTAATTTAAATGATATTACACGGTCGTAGTTAATGCGAAAATTAAGGCGATGAAACGGCAGTATGAAACGGAAAATTGCAATTGAATCAAATTTTGAGAGTACGGGCTAATACATAAAAATCTCCTTTCATTAAATTTTGTGTATTACGTGCTATTGGCAAAATAATACTTTGTTCATTTCTTTTTTGTTTTAATTATCCTTAATTTTGCCAGTACAATAGTCAGGTCGATGAAAGCGCGCGGTATTAAAGGGAGTAAAAAGTCCAGCCTCTACCACGTTTCGCTTATGTACTTTCAAATGGAAATTCATACAAGTTTGCTACATAAAGAGAGCATAAAGTAAAATTTAAAAGCAGAGTCACATGATCAATACTCGTAAAAAGATTGCGCCTTTGAGCCGGAGGAAAAAACAATGCAGCGGTCTCCTTTGTTTTACGCCTCGTACTTACGGAGCTGACGGACGACGAGTCCTGGCCGTATTTGCTGCCTCTCTTGCTGTCCCGTGACAATGATCTTTGCCGATCTAGCACCACGGGGCAGATCGATGTTGGCGGCAGAATATGGACCGCGTGCTCACCCATGGTGCATTCCGCCCGTACTTGTGACACACATTTATTATGAAGCTGTCGAGCAAAGAAAATGCAGTGATTCTTTAAAACGTCGACGTGTATGGTTTGATTTCAAGATGGAGGGAGGGTGGGAGGGAGAGAGGCGGGGGCTTTTGTTTTGTCGTAATAGTAGCGTGAGCATTGGGATTAGGCAACTACGCTTCTAGCTCATTATTGGCTAAATTACTTGCTTTGTAAAGAGGAGTAGGATTCTTGAAATGATGAAGGGTGAGTAGTAGTCGCTAAGGTTAGCGCTACAGCGGATTCGAGAGCAAAAGCAAAGTGGTTATAGATTTTTCGACGCCAAGAGGAAACTGTTGTTTCGGGAGCGCGGTTACAGATCTATATTAATTACACTTCCGCCTAGGGATTGGTTAAACACTGCCATGGATGTAAATAGATTGTGCACTCGAATCTTGATGTTAATATTCTATGTTTTCAATGTTCCTGCTATATTTATAATAATAGTGGAATGCTCTAAATGTAGTCGCGGTGAGTTGAAAATATAGTAATTCGCAGGTGCTGTAGTGATAGAGCTCAGAGTAAATTGCGGTTTTCAAATTAAATGTGAAAATAACGTAAATTGTAAACGATGGATCAAACGTGAATCAAACGTGAATCAAACGTGAATCAAACGTGAATCAAACGTGAACGCGACGAGGCAATTACTGAATAATAATTAGATTTTTAGATTATATTATTATTATTTCGTATACGATTGTCTGAAATAGATTGGCTTTTGAAGGGACTGTTCTTTTTCTTTTTCTTTCTTTTTTTTTTTTTTTTTGCATCCCGAAAAGAAATAAATAACAATGGCATAATAGCAAATTCTCAGATAATCGTTATATTATTATGGAAGTTTGCGATGACTAATGTCGGTATAATTGCCGAAGCTTATAATAAGGCGAATAATATGGACAGTGATTGCTGAAAGTATGGATGCTCCGATGTAAATGTAATAAAGCATAACGGCGAAATGGAATTTATAACGTTCCGTTAGCGAGCTCTTTATCATCCACGAATGATCCACTAATTTATCGGAAATACCTTATGCTTTACCGTTCTTACATCCGGGAATTAGAAGAGCAATGTTATAATTGGAGAATAAGGCGCGGCATAACAATGTCTATATTTACCGTTAATTGACACCATCTGCAATGGAGGCCGGTAATGCCATTGTAACTTTTTATTGTTTTTCTGCATTTCGAGCATTTGCCGTGACAGTTGCCCTCAACCCAGTGGTGGGCCATTGTTTGCGAAGTCTTTTTGCTCTTGACATAGGTAGCGATGCATGAAGCCGGAGCTCTTTGAACGCACCTCTCGTGCACCGTGTATTTACAGACTGTAAGAATTCATGGTCATGAATTATTTGCGCGAATAACGTTTGCTAATGATTGCATTAGTCAAGCGCAAATTAGTCGTTACGTCGTGTGTATACTCGAGCTTATCTCCAGCCTTTCCTTAGCACCGTAAATTCAATTGAATTCTTTTCTTTTTTCACTTCATTTTTTCTTTCTCATTTTTCAAATATACAGGGCACACACACACACACGCGCGCGCGCGCACACAAAAACATACTTAATTTTACGTTTAACGTATGAAATGCTTAATGTTTAAGGGCCTTTGTGTTTCTTATGTAACCCCATTCTTCATTTATATTTAATTCAATAATATTACTTATAATATTACAAACTAGTATCGGGTTAAAAACATTGGAGCCTATTGTTTAAGGATCGATCGTCATTCGGTCTATTTGAAGAAATAAAGTCAAAAGCAGCGTCGAACCGCTTATTAAAAAATTGAGCTTACAGACGCAGCAGAGGCCCTTCTTGCCAAGACCGACAAGCATGTTGAGGCATAGGTTGCAGTAGGCTGGTTTGCTGAAGTGTTTCAACCTCCAGAGATGGTTGCCATCCTCCTTGACGTTGGAGTCGAGACCGAGAAGCACTAGCAAGGGAATGGTCGTCAGGCCGCCACGTTTCCACTCCTCTAAGGATACAGTGCCATCCGCGTCATAGTCAATCTCGATCATCATGTCCTGAAGGATCTGCGCAGTTTGCAAAAGAGAAGAGATAGCCGTTAGTTCAATTGGAATTGGGCTTTTGAGTGTTATCGACGAGATTACTCTCATGTTTTTGTAGAAGAAGCTTGGCCCTCGTAATCTCTCTTTTTGATTTGATTCGATGCAACATCGATATAGAGAAACCACGAATTTAATTTGCTTTGTGGCTTGGAAAGTACATATCTTATTGAGAATAATGCATTAGTATTAGAATAAATGAGATGAGATAAAAAAAAAAAAATTTTTATTTTGACCAACGTTAATCATTAAGGATTGACTTTATTGATTGATACAACAATATATTTTCTTTTTCTGTTCTTCCAGTAACTACGTTAGAAGATGTGCGAGAATTAATTAAAGTTTAATTATGTACTATATTTGTTCGTTGAAAGTAGAATTTTAAAAGAAATTAATTCCTTTGGACTTAGCGATAAAATTAATTTGCTCGTATTAAACAAATCTTTTAAGGCATTTGTGTCTGCTCTTATGTTATCTTATGCTTTAAGCTTTAATTTTCAAATGAGATGTAAACAATGTAATTAAAAGAATAATATTTCTTTTTTAACTGTTATAAGACGAAGGTAAATACAAATTATCGCTTCACGTGAAATTTAATTCTTATTAACTATATTAGACGGTAAAGGAAAAAGAAAAAAAAAAAGAAAAAGAAAAGAAAAAAAAAAAAGAAAAAAGAAGAAGAAAAAAAAAGAAAAAAAAAGACAATATTAAAAATCTTCAATGACGATAGATGTTTAGTATAAAAGTTTGAATTGAGAAATTTGCGATTAACGCATATACAAGTGTTCCGACGTAGCCAACAAAAAAGAATAAATGATTCAATCGACAAAAACTATTGCAATAATTCTGAGCCACTTGGGCCCGAGCTTATGTCCATTCTCATGTCAGTTAAAACTCAAAGGCTGAAATTCCTCTGAAATTTAGATCTCATATATCGTAAAGAATTATTGGTCTACGGTAATACGCCCTCTCTTTCTTCTTACAGATAATCTGTCTTCCTTCGGGGCCCGCAAATGCGCACACGGAACATTAATCGTCGTTAGTCAGTGGATAGTGCTTGGTCTCTTCTTTCGAATTACGCGAAAAAGACGCGACCGATACCCTAGGCATTCGGGATTTTACGGGGGAAATGATCCGCTTGTGCTCCTTGTTTTTTGGCTGGTTGAGTAGGAGGAAAAGAGGGAAAAAGCACCGTGTGCCTTGGCTTTGAGTAATTATCCGGATGATATTGAATTAAAGACGGAGAGGATATTACGTTGATTTGTTTTTCCTTGTTTCGTATTTTATTGGGTGAGAAAGATGTTTCCCAATTGGTCGCTACGATATTTACTTTAGTACCATAAAAAAGTAATTAAGAAACGCTTTCAGTCTTTTTTAATAAGTAAAGATGGCAAAGTTTCAGCCGATTATGCTATTTATATGCCTTGGTATCCAAGAGCAATAATTTATAAGTTCCAATCAGGCATTTCGTTATTTATCGTTTTAAAATTTAGTACTTTTGAGTGGCACGATTGAAAATTTCGATTGTGCATTTCCTGTAGATTTGTGCTTTGGAATCAAATTTAAGATGAAAAAAAAAAGTTTTGTCTTAAATAGAGTAAAAACGAATTTAATTGAAATGTACGATACGCTTGATAAATTTTATAGTGGTTTATGTATACATTGATTATATATATTTGTTTATTTGATTGCATGATTAATGTATAATTAAAATAATATTTGTGGTAGTTAGAGATATAATGTCGTTTTGTTATAATTTTTAAATAAAAACTATTATACATCTGGTTAAAAATTTAAGAAAGTACGGCTTTCTTAATTACTGTTCTTGAATGTGTACTAATAAATAGCGGGTCATGCTATTTTTTTTTCCCGATTTTACATTTGTGAAATTGTTTTTTAAATATATAATCAACTTATACTAATATAATAATGATATTTTTCTATTAATAATTTCCAGTAATAATCTTGTAAGACGAATCAATCAATTTAAAATTTGAAAATTTTCTTATCAATTTAAGAACTGAAAAAAACAAAATTTATAAAATATTTATTATAAACACTACATTATATTGTGATGAACATTTATCATAATCTGCGTCATTAATTTTATCGTATTTTACAGAAAGCAAATAAAGACAAAATAAAATTATTCACATTTAAATGGCTCTGTGCAGAATACATGCAATCATTTACATATAATAATGTCGTAATATATTATTACATTTGAATAAATATTGAGAGAGAGAGAGAGAGAGAGAGAGAGAGAGAGAGTGAGAGTGAATAGCAAAAATGACTATTTTATACCGTTCATTCTGATGTAGTTGTTATTTTATGAATATCTAAATTAATACGACGATAAACAGAGATGGACAAAATAGTATTATTCCATATGTAGGTTAACAAACGTTCACTTGTAGCACGTAAATTAATGTAAATAAAAGCACTATGGATTTCCTAAACAAAGTAGCAAGATTTATTGCTTAAAATACTAAAAATTTATGTATATATAAGTAAGTGTCCTTATATGCGTGCGCATGCGTACCCGATTACATAATAATAATAATAATAATTATTATAGTGACAATAATTGTAAAATTATATTATAAACAATTATATTTTGAAACAGTAAATTAATTTAAAGTGTGTATGCACTTTATATCTTATTGTGCTCTTTACCACGCCTTAAGTTCTGGTCCGAAGATACTTTTCTTATTTTCTCTCCCCGAATAAGATACGAGTTGCACGTATATTAGTCCGAATGTTTTTGAATTCCCGGGTTCCTTCGAGGAGGTCACTTCCTCGAAAGTACTTTTGTATATCTGTTCGTATATTTGTTATTCTCGGCACTTTGCTATTCAACTTTCTTCCATTTCTCATCGTAATATATTTTTCTTTTCTTATTCGACTGTATATTCAATTTAAATATAATTCTGAAGGGTTCGCATATCTTTATTTTCTTTCTTTTTCTTTTTTTTTCTTAATGATTCAAAGACCGATACGTTTCCGATCAAATCAAACGCGTAAGTTAATTTAATTTTTCTTTTAAATTCAAATAAAATTCTTTTGATCGTTAACACGATATCAAATGAATAGAATATTAAAATTTATATTAATTCAATACTTTATTAAATTATGTCTTTGATATAATGAAAATAAGTTGCTTGTAAAAGAACTTTTCGATATAATTGTATTGAGCTAAATGAAATCCTTCGATATTATTAATCTTTAAACAAAATTATCGTAGTATTATTATTGTACCACATTTGTTTAGTATTCCATGTACAAATGGATTAGAAATATTAAAATTTACCATTTGTTGTCTTTTTATTCATCGTTGTACTTAATTTTTCATAGTTTTTCTTTACAAAATTATTTTCATTATAATAGCATTTATTAATATTAATATAATGTTTTTGTGATGAAACTCATTGTAACATATTAATATACTTTTCAAGATGGATATACATAAGAGCGTTTGATAGTTTGAATAAATTAGAGATAATTAATGAATATTACGATATTTGTATTCAAAAGTTAAAACAATTATGTCGATTAAATTCCAAAATAGCTCTAATTGATAATTTTACACGCTCACTATTTTTACTCGATACGATTGTTCTAGGTGCATCTGGGACATCTCTTAAGCAATATTGTATAAATCGAATGATAATATTTAATTTTACTAAACATATCATTAATTTTTTTTAAATGCGCTAGCCATTTATATTCTTTACAAATAACGGATACTTTGTATGCAATTTTACTTTTCAAAATGATAGACATTTGCTTATTAACGGAACTTAATATCAATGAAAAATATGATTTATATACATTCTGACGTACGTACATCGTACATTTAATGAAATCATTGGATTAATTAGATATGAATTAACTTACCGGTTTAAGCTCTGAGACGTCCCATCCAAGGTATTCAGCGACATTCATCATCTGGTTGACGATGCAATCCATTTCCTATATTAGGAAGTGATAGAAAAAGCGTGAAAATATTGCTATTTCTGCATAAAAATTAGCGTGTCAGCAATTCCGAATAAGGAGAAATAGGGTAAAAAGTATATTGGTGAGCTTAAATGGAAAAAAAAATTTATTCAATAGACTCGAAGACTTGCCTTTAATATAATTTAAAAAAAAAGAAGAAAATTAGCAGAAGAACATGAAACAATTCCTTTTAAAAGTTTATCAAATTTTGGATTACTTTATAAAAATCTTTAATCGATAGGCATACAATAACGTTTAATAAAAGTGATATAGAGTAGAAAAAGTTGTAAGTTTCCGAAATTCGGTATTAAATTATTCGAGTAATTAAAGAATTTGTCTAAACGCATTTACTTTTAAGAAAAGAACTACTTTTATTTATACTATATATATATATATATATATATATGTTGAGAGCATAGTTAGAGCAAAGAGTTGAGTTGAGAGCAAATTAAATTGTTTCATGAAATAAACGTTTGATTCTTAGTTCGATAATAAACAATTTTTTAATAAGAATTTATGTAAAAAAATTTTCTATTAAATATTACTATTCGTATTTTATAGATTGAAATTGTGTTTAATAAAAAAATAGAATAAAAACTTTAACTTTCTATAAATGTGCCTTTATTCATATTAAGACTATATTTTAGTCGCATAACTTACTATATTACATATTGCAGGCAGCTGTTACGAAGATAATTTAATGGGAATTTTTTATCGGAGAATAATATTTTATGATTTATTTATAATAATATTTTCTTCCCTTAAAGTAAATATATTAGCTTTCGGTATAATAATGTATATCGAAGTATATTACCACATTTATTAGAATAAAGGTTATTTTAGTTGTTTATTTTTACAAATTGATTATATTTGTCGAATTTGGAGCGTAAAACCAAATGTTGTCACTAAATATATATATATATATATATATATATATATAACTATGCAGAAGGTGAATTATCATACGCTAGATCTTCATTTCTGATAAATTAATTTTGTGAAAAATAAAAGCTAAGAATCATAATAAATAAATAAATAATAAATCATTAGGACTAATTGAATGCAACGACATCAGTTTCTTAACATTAAAGCACGCGTCTTATTTCTCATTAAATATGAAAATTTTGCTTCGATACGAAGTTATCTTATTTCAAAGCAGATAGGCATTGACAGGCACTTGTCTTGAAATGGAACTCAGAGTGATAAGATTTACATAAACTTACGTTAGTGTCAAGGACTCCATTGCCGTCGGTGTCATACAACCGGAACATAACTGAAACGAACCAAATGCACATGTATTAACGATGTGGCACAAACGCAACTGAATGTGCTTCCGTTATGCAAACGAATCAATAGTCAGTCGTTGAGCTTTGAAGAACAATTGAATTTGATTGAATTTAGACGCGGCGATGCCCAATAACGCTTGGATATCGTTTACTTTTTTACTCTCATCCGTTCCTAGTGACATCGACTTGTAAAGGAAAATCAACAATTTATCGACATTTCCATTCGCCAACGCGGCATTGCGACTAAGAATTATATAAGATTAGAGGACATAAGAAAAGCATTCACCAAGTGTCCCAGTCTCATTAACCGATTAACTCTCAATCCTTAGGAGTTATATTAAGTGCAGTATGTAATATACCAGGAACGGCTGATAGTAGAATGGTTAATAATCCAGGATCGCTTATATTTTTAATGCACTTAAGAGTGGCAAACGAGAATTCCACATATACAAGATGGAGGCTTATAAAGTGCGAATAATTTAACAATGTGGCGAAATAAAGTTTCTAACGCAGACGATTATATTTTCAGACTCGGAATAAAATTATTAAATCGTTCTGAGATAACATTTTTTACTCATAATAAATATCGTTCTGAAGGTGAACTTGAATCTATTGAAAAGTTAAAAGAATCCTAATTATTATTGTTTTACATAAATATGTTGGAACCGCGACTTTTCTTACCAGACTTCAATTTACAAAATTTAACGTTCATCGAAATCATAGAATGGAATTTAAAATAATTCATTAAATTTAATGCTAATTATCATTGAAATTCAAAAAACTTCGAATTTGACATGCGTATATGCGCGTTTAAAGGTCTATTCTTTTTCATAATTAATGCATAATAATATTGCCTTATCAATATATATGTATATTAATCGATGGGGATATTATATCTAGAAATAATTTTATTATTATTATTATTTTTTTGTTATTTCTTACCAACTATCCGATTCTTCGAATAAAGAATAAATTGTTTTAAGCAATTGCCATACTGAAATTCGTTAGATAACAGTGCCTCTGTATAAGAATTACTGAGCAACTTTATTATTTATGATTTTTCATCCAAGTGATCTCGAGTATTATGGAGAGTTTTAAAAAGCATTTCCAAGTGCACACATGTCGTAGACGATGACGATCTGTTTGCACACTACTTGCACGTATACGCACACTAAAAATAATTCGCAGAGGCTAGAAAGGTGTGGTAAACGTTCGTCGAACTTACACTCCAATTTATCTTCGGGCCTGCCTGCTTCCAGAAGTGATAAATAACAAACGATGTCCTTCAAGCTGACTTTAACCGAATGAACGTCTATTGTGCTTTGTTTCCTTACCAAATGTCTCATCTCTGAAATGATTTTAAATAACAATGCATTAGCGTATGGATGGTTACTCTTTGTATCATTATTTATCTTTATGTTATTATTTACAAACATTTCGATCTAGGTTTATATTTCCATAAAAGTAAAAGAAAAAAAGACAATAATATTGCGATCATAATAACGATTATGAAATTATATAATTTTTGAAAATTAATAGAATTATTTACATAGGGATCATTTACTGTATGCAATCGTATATATTATGCAACATTTTACGTACATTTGATGATTACATTTTTTTTTTCAAATATTATCTAGCAATATGATTAATCTTTAGCTTTTAAACTTTATAGATCTTTATAGATTATATTTATATAGATTATATACAATATAGATCTTTTAAACGTTAAATCTTTATAGATCTTCAAACATTAAATTTTAACAATCCCTTCAAGATGTAAACTCAATTATTAATTTTCAAGAGGGAATGTGCATTCTTGTATCAATATTCTATTTCCCATTGGTTTTCTACGCCGTATTTTACTCATTTTGTAATCAATAAATACCCATACTTATGCATTAAATAAAAATGATTATTATTCATAATTTTATTAAAAATAAATTTTAACGTTTTTTTTTTTTTTTGAATTATCATAGAAAGAAATTTTTTAGATTTCTTTTAGCGTATTAATATATTTTTATGAAAACAAAATATAATGAATTTAGTTTTTTTTTTTTTTTTTTTTTTTTTTTTTTTAATTATTTAAAAGAACTACTTCAATATGATAAGATTTAACGGATATAAACATATAGGATTGTAAAAATAGATTAAAAATGAACTTATTAAGAATTAAAACTCGGACTTGAGGTCGATTTTGTCCTTATTAAATAGGTCGGTTTCGTTAATAATTCTGAAATTCTGAATTCACTCGGTTTTTCCATAGTCCATATTTTTTTTGTCGATTATTTAAAAATTATTTTTCATAAATTAAAAATTTTAAAATATTAAGAGAAAATAATATTTTGACAGTTGATTTTATTTAAAAAGTCAAAATATTAAATAAAATACTTTAGACAATGAATACATTGACATTTCAACATTGCTTTTTAATACTTTTTAACGATATTATAGAAATAGCGAATAGAAATTTTGAATAAAAATTTTACCGAATAATTTAATTGTATTTCATTCATTATTTTATTAAATTTTGTTTTGCAGTTTTTATAAATTTTATGTTCAATTTTTATGCGTCATTGATTTATTAATAAATATGTAGATATCAATTAATAATAACTAATATTTATTTATATTAAAATAAAAATTAATCTTCATTATTGACAGTTTGAAAAATGATAGTTTCGAAAAAAAGTGTTCTAAATATATATATATATATATATATTTAACAAAAAATGTAAAATTGATTGTGGTAATTTTTTTTTTTTTTTTTTTTTTTTTTTTTTTTTTTTTATTTTCAAACAATTATTTATGTAAATATGCTTAAAATTTATTAAGAGCAGTTATAAATATTAAACTTATTTTTTATAAACATCATTTTCAATTTCTTGAGTTTTGATAATTGCTAATATTCGACTTATTAGTAACAATTATTTATCAATTTTGAATGATTCTTTCCATACATATGCGATAGATAATATATAAAATTTATTAAGAAATATTTATATTTATTTCAATTTATATAGCTTAATGGATAATAATTAAGGACTATAAATCTATGATAATCATAGAAAAATTATTCATTAATACGTATTTAGTTTATTTACACGCCTTTTGACATTTCGTCGCACATCGTAGCGAATGTATATATTGATAGTCTTACTTTTTCCTTAAAGTAGGTATCCGACGTCTCTTACTTTCTTTTATCGAGCATGAATAACTTTGATGTCCTTTATGTTTTTTGTTTTATATGAAGAGGCTTTATATCAATATCAATGCACTGCGTATGTGCAAACTCCACTCTGTCTGGTACATAAACTCGTACTCAGACGGTCGTGGGCCGCTGCATTAGTTGCAAAAATAGACGGATGCATTTTGTCTCACGTACTAACTAATTCTAGCGTGCGTATCATATTCTAAGCAACGCGAGCTTATATCATGCGATGCGCTGCGAATTGACAGAATGAGAAATGTACGGTTATGTGTTGACTGGTTGATAATGGACTAAGTGCGCGATTGATCATCATTCCTTGCTTTAAAAATGGATGGGCACAATCGAGTGTCGACAAACTTTGACAAAATTACTTGTATTAGCCTGCTGTATTTTTAATTATAAGCTGTAATATTATTATTATTATATAGTTTAAATTGTATTCAGTTATTAAAAATTATGTGCTTATTTGAAACTGTTTGTTTTATTTATTTAACAATATTTTTACCTTAAGTTGTATAATAGATAGCCTGTCAGGAATGTTTTATTGCCCTCGACTTCATTACCAACCTCAATTGATAAATACATTTTAATAATCTAAGTTGGCGTTTTGCACGTGAGAATTATTGCAATGAAAACATGAATTTTAAACTTTTTAACATCGTTAAGAAATTGAAAATGCAATTTTAAATAAATTTTCCTACAAGCGTAACTAAATTCCATATTATTCCATTAATAACGAGTTTCAATAATTACTATGTAGAATAGCAAGGAATTTTTTTATTAAAGCCACATATAAAATATATTAATACAATTTCTCACTGCTCACTGACACTTCTATTAGGTCGTTACAAAAATAACGCAAAATAATAAGTAGTTAGGGAAATTTTATTCTAAAATTAACTGGCAATTATTTTTAGCTTCTGCCGCAGTCGCATGATATGTCGAAAAAGACGCTCTTTTACGAAATGCATTTAAAAATAAATATACATCAACACTAGCGTGTTGCAAGTGTTGGCCATTCTCGATATACATACGCTGTACGAAGAATGCTCATGCTTATCAAACACCGATGCTAGTCGCTCGAGGGTGAGAAAAGTCTTTAGGAGCAGATTTTGTTCCGTTGCTCCAGTTCCGTGTTACGAAATATTCGTTTACGTGCAAATACCCAAATTATTTCGGTCGATTGGTTAGAAATAAATCACCAATAATCACTTATGTAAAAATATACAGACTACTGCATGAGCCACATGAAGTAACCTTCTCGCGACGGATATTACTTTGGCACTAATTTACCCTACGCTGTGTATTATGAAAACGCGTGTCATTATTTAGAATAGCGAAACAGCGAATTTGAAAGTTATATTATTCAGGTTGCGAAGATTAGATAGATTTTTTTTTTTTTTTTTTGATTAATTCTATCTGATTGATTAAAATTCAGATTACCTTTTCGGCTGAAAATGGATTGATAATTAATTATATTCTTTTCTTCTTGTAATTCTTATCACTAAATTCGTAAACGTAAAATTTCGATGTAATGATTATGCAAAGTCGAATTTACTGTTTATTATTATGCAGGATTTTTTAATCATTTATTATTATGCAGTATAAATAGGAAGCTGCAATAATATAGAAAGTTTGAATGTATTATTCATGAATTTGATCAATTTTATTTCCGCTAGTCCCTCTTTATTAATAGTTTTTGCAATTGTCTGTTGAGATTGTCGGTTCATCTGTTGATATTTTAACTGTAATATTTAATATCCTATTAAATATAATATGAATAGAGAGTGTTTTCTGCACAACCTTAATTTGCATTCAAAATTAATAGAAATATTTCATCTTAAAGACATAAAGTATTGTCATGCAAGTAATTGAATTACAAATAATACACCGAGAAAAAAATTTTCTTCTCGTGTAAAAATATATTTTACCAATTCTATTTTATCTCTCGGCTCGGCTATGTATTTTAATAGTATAATTTTATACATATCAATTGTTGACAATACATAGAAAACTTTTGTTATAATTTTTAGTTTGCTTGGGACTTTATGTTCGTATGATCCCACAAGACCGGCAAATTATTTAAAAATATTTAAATTATAAAAATTATTTAAATAAAGACCGGAGTATTAATGGGGAGGGGGGGGGGGGGGGGGGAGACGGCATTGACATTAATTTCGATATCATTTCAAAATAACGAAATCTTGTATCATCTTCTAAATTACTTCTATTGTATTTAAATAGTTTATCGATCCAAAGTTCGCAGCTAAAAAACTTTAATGTACGTAAGTTATTAATTAAAAGTTATTGGCTTAACTGTATTGATAATTCAATGCTTAATACGAATCTACAGATGGATAATTTATTAACATTATCAATGAAATATATATTTTAAGAAGCAGAACAAAATATTTGTCATTTAGTTGAAAGATGAAAATTGCAAGTAGTTATATTTTAAAAGTTTTGGAAGTTAGAATGTTGAAACTTTCATAATTAGATAATTTGCTTTAAATGCGCAGTCAAGTCCCTTTCGATCGAATATGCGAATAAAGCAATTTCCGGCAAATTAATAAGACCGCATAAGACATAATTTCCCTCAAACAACCTAAAATGTTTGCTTTCATTACATTTTTCCTCGAGGCTTTAGTCGAAGCTTTATAAAAACTTAAATAATTTCAAAATAACAAGATAGTTTTGCAAAACTTATCTGTTCGCACGCACATCTTACTTACAAAGGATAAATTGCCATAGTTGTATTGCTTGTTTTATTTTGCTTTTATCAAAACGTTATTTCGTGCCGCGGAGAATGTCGGGAGATTGAGAGATAGAGAGATAGAGAGAGAGAGAGAGAGAGAGAGAGAGAGAGAGAGAGATAGAGAGAGAGAGATAGAGAGAGAGAGAGTGAGTGAGTGAGAGAGGGGGGGGGTGAAGGGCGATATCCATTTTAAAGATGAGCCACTTATCCAGATGGCGCAAAGAAAAACTTGTCATTCAATTACAGCAATTACAGCACTGGAATAAATTGGCTTCACACTTTTTCTCCAGAAACCTTTCACGGCACATGCAATGTAACAACAATGTAACGTCAAGGCGACAAAACCTGTCTCAAGACCTCAAGAGCCGTGGAGTATCCTCCG